AAAAAAAAAAAAAAAAAAAAAAACGGCGTTCCCCTTTAATGAAAGGGTATATAAACTTTCAAGCACAACCATAAGGAGTTATCACTCCTGCAGCGTATATTATTTGTTTTGCTTGTTGATTAACAAAAATATTAAAGATTTTAAGCACATTCACCTTCATCAATAATGTATCAGAAGAATAAAAAGAAAGTTATTTGGTTTTACCTTTACGGTGGCATTTTTACTATAATAGAAACTTCTCACTGTTGGGTTCTTTCCTTTTTTGTATGAAATATTTGTATTCATATTAACCCTTTATAGGGCACTCAGTGAAATACTTTGAAAATGAAAATTTCAAGACCAAGTTATCTTTGTAACATAAAAAAATATGGATAGTTTGATGACAAAAATGAATGTCAATCTAATAACAAGAAATGCCAACTTGCTCAATTATATTAAGAAAAAAAAGCAAAAGTGCTTCTATAAGAAGTTCATGAAAAACACTCCTTGAAGAAACACATTTTTTTGGTACAACATAAACCTAGAGGCATTAATGCTGATACTGACACTTACATTTGTTTGTTTATAAAACTAAATATAACTAGGCTTATTAACTTTTTAACTTTTCAATTAGCTTTTTAACTTTTTTCTTCACTTTTTAACTTTTTTCAACTTAATTTACAGTGGTTAATATATCCTTCAATGGCTCATTTAATTGTTCAAAAGCCAAAAGAAGATGTGCAGCCATGTAGCAGGATCTTTGCTGAATAGCTGGATATAAATCTTGTGCTTCTAGACCTCAATGAGGGACGGGGTAGGAGGACTCCATTTGTAAGGGGAATACAAGTGATCAAAAACAGTAACTTGTCCTATAAAGGGTTAACATTAACATTTGAAAGCAAACCTCACAACAGATTTTTGAATTTTATTTTATTATCCATCCATCCATTATCTGACACGCTTGTCCCAAGTGGGGTCACGAAGGGTGCTGGTGCCTATCTCCAGCAGTCAATGGGCGAGAGGCGGGGTACACCCTGGACAGGTCGCCAGTCCATCGCAGGGAAACACAGAGACACATAGGACAAACAACCATTCACACACACATTCACACCTAAGGACAATTTAGACTGTGGGAGGAAGCCAGGGTACCCGGAGAGAACCCACGCCTGCTCAGGGAGAACATGCAAACTCCATGCAGAAAGTCCCTGGGCCGGGAATCGAACCTTTATCTTATTATAATATTAGAAAAAAAGTAAGAATTCCTACTTTTTTCTCAGAATTCTCACTTTGATCTCAGAATTTTGACTTCAATCTCAGAATTCTGGCTTTTTTCCTCAGAATTTTTACTTCTTTCTCAGAATTCTGACTTTTTTTTAGAATTCTGACTTTTTTCTCATAATTCTTATTTTAATATCAGAATTATGACAATTTATTGTTTTTTTAAATAATATTTGAAAAACATGCTAACTTTTTTTTTGTTTGTTTCTTCAGTGGCCCTAATCCTCTTCCGTATACATATCTGCTCAAAACCTTTAATAAAATCCAACCTGTTAGAAACGCTTTGAAGAGGTGAACTGAGGGTTCATTAAAAGGACATTGTTTGAGTCACTACTGCAAACTCACCACTAGGTGGAGACAGAGCTCTAAATGTGTTAGTCCACCAATACACGTTGGATGATCGTTACTTTGCATTTGAGGCAAATTGGCTGGTATGATATGCATATATATTAGATTTACATATAACATAAACTATAGGTATTTTATTTATTTTTTATCAGTCACCTTTGTAGGTGTTTAGTCTGTTTGTTTCTGTATTTTTCTTATCAAAAATGCAGATTTGCTAAAGTTTTTCGCATTAATGATTTTTTCTGTGAGGTAATCTAAGCAGTAATGCTATAGCTGTGGCGGATGTTAAATGTCTACAAAATAAAAGCTTGGCTTTAAGAGCAAAATGAATTGAAACGTCATTGGTAGCCTAATATTTTTATTAAAGATTATAAATGTTTACGAGAGAAGAAGATGTCTTTGTGTTTATTTCAGTATGCCTTTTTTTCCCTTAAATATCGGTGTTTTTTCCCAGTGTTTGCAGAAGCAGGACTTTTATTTTCCCACAGAGCGGTCCTGGCTGAGTGGGGGGACGTGGCTCCGTGTTTTCTGCTCTACTGACGCTGCTGCGTGTAAAATTAGCTGCAGCCTGTTAGGGCCACCCTCTCCCTCTCTCGCAGACCCCCGGAGCCCACAGTGCAGTAAGTAACCAGTGCATTTATCTGATTTAGATAGTCAGAGAGAAAATCTGCTTCCTCAGGTCGGAGGGGACCCTAAATCAGACGGCTCCCCCCCCCCCAGAAACCCGCTGATACTAGTTGAATCTGGAGCGCCTCACAGCTGGATGAGACCTGGCCTCATACAGATGTGGCTCCTTATTATCCTGCTAGGAAAACTGAAGATATTAGTCTGATTAATTAGGGGAGGCTTTGTGTGATTGAATCTTCCAGATGTTTTAGCAGCTCCAGTTGCAGTCCAGATCTGACTGGTCCACGTCGGGTAGGTGAAGACGCTAAAGTTGGCTTTCGATTTGGAGGTTTTCATGCTGCACTTTAACTAAAGGGCTATTCTGCAACATTTTCATCTGCTTTATGGGAAATACTTAGAATTAGCTAATGTAACTTGGAATATTTTGGAATATAGATGTGTAATGTAGCGGAATATCTTTTGCATTTATGAATTTATTGCATACTATCCGATTTACTTGTAAAATACAATTTATTTATCCATCCATCCATTTTCTGACACGCAAAGCGAGGGGTGCTGGTGCCTATCTCCAGCTGTCAATGGGCAAGAGGTGGGGTCCACCCTGGACAAGGTCACCAGTCCATCGCAGGGCAACACAGAGACAAACAACTATTCACGCACACCTAAGGAGAATTTAGAAAGGCTAATTAACCTAACAGTCATGTTTTTGGACTGTGGGAGGAAGCCGGAGTACCCGGAGAGAACCCACACATGCTCAGGGAGAACATGCAAACTCCATGCAGAAAGACTCCGGGCCAGGAATCGAACCAGCAACCTTCTTGCTCCAAGGCAGCAGTGCTCCACTGAGCAGCCCAAAAAAAAAACAAAAAACAATGTAGTGATTTTAATTTCTAATTTGTGAAAACTCAATGGAGCTGATTTATTGATTGCTTTATACAGATAATATATACATAATATAAATGACCAGAGGTGGATAGAGGACCCAAAAATTGTACTCGAGGTAGAGTAGCGCTACCTAAACTTTTTTTACTCAATTAAAAGTAAGGAGAAGCTATCACTTAAGATTAAAAAAGTACTTGGTATAATTGCTTCCCAAATACCGCATAATTATTGGCTCGTGACATCAGAGTTCATGTTTAAAATGATGTAAATTGACAGAAAGTTATGTGGCAATTCTGGTTTTTCAAAGAATGAAATAATAGTAATAAAAACAATAAACATTATGGTTACAAAATTAAAATTCAAGCAGTAGAAAACCTTTTTTATTTCAAAGTGAGGTTATCCAGCTTTTTATTGTCATTAAACTGTCAAAAGTACAGAGCAACGAAATTAATTATCTGCATGTAACCCATCCCGTTGGGGAGCAGTGGGCTGCCATTGTGCGGCGCCCTGGGGAGCAGTGTGGGGTTAAGGGTCTTTTGCTCAGTGGCAGTCTGTGGGAGTGGGTTTTTAACTCAGAACCTCTGGATTCCAAGCTCTATACCCTAACCACTTCCCAGCAATAGATGTTGAATGGAGAATGCAGGCAGGATCCACATGTCATGAAAGGATAAAGACCTGGTGCAATATCTGTACGCATGTGTTACTAATGGCTGGTAGAGTAACCAGAAATTTAATTTGAGGTAAAAGAGCAACACTCTCATATGATTTTATTATATGTGTTGCTTCAGTAATAGTAATTAGTGCAGGAAACAAGAAGTACATCTTTTTTCTAAACATTGCTTAAGTAAATATAATCAGCTACCCATCTACCCAATATTCAGGGTTCTAATCTTTGCAGAAATTTTTTTTTTAACAGTTTGTGATCGAAAAACCATCCATTTTCTGTCACGCTTAATCCCAGTTGGGGATTAATCTCCAGCTGATCGAAAACCATGATGCAATCTGTAAAAACTCAGAAAAGGAATCCTATAAAGAAGAAACTGTGAATTATAGGCTTTGGAATAAATATTAAATGATAAAGTTAAAGTTTGGCTTTTTAAGTATTTAAATCTGTATTTACAATTAATTGAAGGTAGTCTGCACGCCTTTGGTGCAGCGGAATGGCCCTTTACATCACAAATCGCATACCAACTTCAGCACCATAAAACAACCATTGTATTCCTCCACAGAGCTCATTTAACTCTGCGATCGCTCACAGAAAGCTGCAGAATATTACCAGACAGCCACTCTTATATTGTCCCCCCTGGTGCTGCTTGCTTTTATCATTTTAGAGATGTATCTGAATGGTAGTGAAGGAGTGCTGTGAATTTCTGGTTAATGTGTAGCTATGGAGGCTCGCCCTGATTGGCTGAGAGTGAGGGCAGAAGAAGCAGCTCAGGGTCTGCAGATCAAAGACCAACACTGAACAAAGTTCAGTTCTTCCAGATCCCATTAATCTGTGTCTGAGCATCAGATTCATGTTAATGATGAGCGCTCTGCAAACCCTGTGAAAAGGATTCAGTGTTTTAAACCTCTGAGTTTAAATTAATTTAAAGAGACAACATGCTTCATGCTGATGCAACATTTGGAAGGGTTAAGGACCTCAATTCCTTCACCTGATTTTAATGATGCAGGGTTTCCCCTCTGTTTCATCATATGAGTGTTAGAAATGATGAAATACCGGACCAGGGTTGCATGTTATACACAGAAATATAACTTAATTCACTGGTAATTAGAAATAGTGCTGAAATACAAAAACCTAATGTATGAAAAATGGGATGCATTTCACTAATTGGAAATGTGAAATAAGTCAAAAATGTTGCTAATGATAGTGATGAGAAAAGGAAAATAACAGTTATGATTCATAACTTTATTGCATCACTTCTGGGACAGGAAGTCTCTCCTTTGGTTTGGTTTATGTTCTTATCTGGTTAGGATTAGGTCAGTGGGGAAAAAAAATAAAAAATTTAACTGATTTTTAAATTTTATTTCAGTTTAGTATGGGATTAAAGTCAAAATTTTGACTTTTTTCTCAGAATTCTGACTTTAATCTCAGAATTCTGACTTTAATCTCAGAATTCAGACTTTTTTCTCAGAATTCTGACTGAAGTCTGATAATAAAAAAAAAGTCAGAATTCTGAGATTAAAGTCAGAATTCTGAGATTAAAGTCAGAATTCTTTAATCTCAGAATTCGGACTTTAATCTCAGAATTCGGACTTTAATCTCAGAATTCGGACTTTTTTCTCAGAATTCTGACTTTAATCTCAGAATTCTGACTTTAATCTCAGAATTCTGACTTTTTTCTCAGAATTCTGACTTT